TGAACTTTTCATAAAGTTTCCAGCATCTGTCAAATACTTGGAAGCTGTAGCTCAAATTCTATGTAAGCTTTAAATAACTTGTTATTTGTACATTTGCCTATTGAAGTTCCCTGGAAAATAAAATGGCCAGACCACAGTGATACCTTAATGGGTTCAGCTTGTACACAACCATTGTCGATCTGGCCTAGAGGCTGTTCTCTGCCAAGGAAGAACCATCTAGAGTCAATATGGCAAGCCGTTCTTTCCCTCTGTGGTATCACACTGTTCACACTGGTTCTTGACAAAAAGCCAAAGAAAACTTCTCTAATTCATTCAGCTGACAAGAAGGCCTGTGCCCACTGGTACCTGTTCAGCAGGAGGCAGAGTTCCAGAATTGTTTGGGCAACTATTTTGGATTTTAAAGTTTCTCAGGATCTCCTAGGGATTATGAATGTCAGATGTTTGAAACCTCCTATAAATAAAAAGTTAATCAAAAAATGAAACCTGCCTTACTGTCCACAGCCAGGGCAAGAGTAGCTTATCTCAAAAACAATTGCATTTAAACACAGCATTTGAAACTATTAAAAAATTTTAGAACAATCACTAAGAGAAAGGTGCATTAAATACACTAAAAGTTTTGCACAGGATCAGACTACTAATACTAGTTTGAGGAAAGGTCTAGTAACTGATAGTTATAGAAGTTCCCAATGTTGAAACAGAATGTTCATTTGCCCTAGGTAATATAAATAATGTAAGCATTATCACTCAGTGTTTCTTCAAAGGCCCTGTTTTCTAACATGTCCCAGCCTATAAAGGCACATTTCTGTTGCTTTTTTTATTAAGAATTATACAACTTGTAAGAACTAAGATTTTAATTTCCTTCTTATAGAACTTAATAAAGCACCATGAAACTTTCTTTACTTACCAAAGCTTTTCTGGCAAATGATAAATTTTTCTGTCTTTCAAATCATGCATATAGTGTCCACACATTTTGGCAAATGTGAACTAGAAAACAAAAGCACAAAAATATCTAGCTTAAGACACTCATTTAAATTAAATTGAATTATAGTAAATTTAAATTAAAAGTCATCGGCAATTAGATTTCCCTGAAACTTTACAG